TATATTATGCAGCTTGTCAGATGCACCTCCATCAATACTTCCATGGTGATTATGTTTGATGCTGGTCAGATGCTTCCATTAGGTCACCTGTGAAGATCTGGGTTAGAATAGGTCCTCAGCAACCCATGCTTGTCTCCCTGTGAAGATCTGGGTTAGAATAGGTCCTCAGCAACCCATGCTTGTCTCCCCGTGAAGATCTGGGTTAGAATAGGTCCTCAGCAACCCATGCTTGTCTCCCTGTGAAGATCTGGGTTAGAATAGGTCCTCAGCAACCCATGCTTGTCTCCCCGTGAAGATCTGGGTTAGAATAGGTCCTCAGCAACCCATGCTTGTCTCCCTGTGAAGATCTGGGTTAGAAGAGGTCCTCAGCAACCCATGCTTGTCTCCCCGTGAAGATCTGGGTTAGAATAGGTCGTCAGCAACCCATGCTTGTCTCCCTATGAAGATCTGGGTTAGAATAGGTCCTCAGCAACCCATGCTTGTCTCCCCGTGAAGATCTGGGTTAGAATAGGTCGTCAGCAACCCATGCTTGTCTCCCTGTGAAGATCTGGGTTAGAATAGGTCCTCAGCAACCCATGCTTGTCTCCCTGTGAAGATCTGGGTTAGAAAAGGTCCTCAGCAACCCATGCTTGTCTCCCCGTGAAGATCTGGGTTAGAATAGGTCCTCAGCAACCCATGCTTGTCTCCCTGTGAAGATCTGGGTTAGAATAGGTCCTCAGCAACCCATGCTTGTCTCCCTGTGAAGATCTGGGTTAGAATAGGTCGTCAGCAACCCATGCTTGTCCCCCTGTGAAGATCTGAGTTAGAATAGGTCGTCAGCAACCCATGCTTGTCTCCCCATGAAGATCTGGGTTAGAAAAGGTCCTCAGCAACCCATGCTTGTCTCCCTGTGAAGATCTGGGTTAGAATAGGTCCTCAGCAACCCATGCTTGTCTCCCTGTGAAGATCTGGGTTAGAATAGGTCCTCAGCAACCCATGCTTGTCTCCCTGTGAAGATCTGGGTTAGAATAGGTCCTCAGCAACCCAAGCTTGTCTCCCTGTGAAGATCTGGGTTAGAATTGGTCGTCAGCAACCCATGCTTGTCTCCCTGTGAAGATCTGGGTTAGAATAGGTCTTCAGCAACCCATGCCTGTCTCCCCATGAAGATCTGGGTTAGAAAAGGTCCTCAGCAACCCATGCATGTCTCCCTGTGAAAATCTGGGTTAGAATAGGTCATCAGCAACCCATGCTTGTCTCAAATCTGTTCAGCAGCAGGAATGTGAAGCTTACATTTCCTGAAGTTATATTATAAGCATCCGCTATTCAATCTTTCTGTGAAGAAAATCTTTAACTCTTATCATCAGGGTTAGGTCTCATTTTTTCATTTTTATTTTACAAAACTTTTTATAACAGCTGATTGTAATATGTATAAAAGTCTTTATTCTAACAAGAGTTTGTTTTTCCTTCATTAGTAGCAAATTTTTACTGAAAACATTTTGACCACCATCATTGAGGTATATATTTTAATCTAGCAAGGACCATTAGATTAGGCAGGTGTATATTTTCATCTAGCAAGGACCATGAGATTAGGCAGGCATATATTTTCATCTAGCAAGGACCATGAGATTGGACAGATATATATTTTCATCTAGCAAGGACAATGAGATTGGGCAGGTATATATTTTCATCTAGTAAGGACCATGAGATTGGGCAGGTATATATTTTCATCTAGCAAGGACCATAAGATTGGGCATGTATATATTTTCATCTAGCAAGAACCATGAGATTGGGCATGTATATATTTTCATCTAGCAAGAACCATAAGATTGGGCAGGTATATATTTTCATCTAGCAAGAACCATGAGATTAGGCAGGTATATATTTTCATCTAGCAAGAACCATGAGATTGGGCAGGTATATATTTTCATCTAGCAAGAACCATGAGATTAGGCAGGTGTATATTTTCATCTAGCAAGGACCATAAGATTAGGCAGGTGTATATTTTCATCTAGCAAGAACCATGAGATTGGGCATGTATATATTTTCATCTAGCAAGAACCATAAGATTGGGCAGGTATATATTTTCATCTAGCAAGAACCATGAGATTAGGCAGGTATATATTTTCATCTAGCAAGAACCATGAGATTGGGCAGGTATATATTTTCATCTAGCAAGAACCATGAGATTAGGCAGGTGTATATTTTCATCTAGCAAGGACCATAAGATTAGGCAGGTATATATTTTCATCTAGCAAGAACCATGAGATTGGGCAGGTATATATTTTCATCTAGCAAGAACCATGAGATTAGGCAGGTGTATATTTTCATCTAGCAAGGACCATTAGATTAGGCAGGTGTATATTTTCATCTAGCAAGGACCATGAGATTGGTAGGTATATATTTTCATCTAGCAAGAACCATGAGATTGGGCAGGTGTATATTTTCATCTAGCAAGAACCATGAGATCGGGCAGGTATATATTTTCATCTAGCAAGGACCATGAGATTGGGCAGGTATATATTTTCATCTAGCAAGAACCATGGGATTGGGCAGGTGTATATTTTCATCTCGCAAGGACCATGGGATTAGGCAGGTATATATTTTCATCTAGCAAGGACCATGGGATTTGGCAGGTGTATATTTTCATCTAGCAAGGACCATGGGATTTGGCAGGTGTATATTTTCATCTAGCAAGGACCATGAGATTGGGCAGGTATATATTTTCATCTAGTAAGGACCATGAGATTGGGCAGGTATATATTTTCATCTAGTAAGGACCATGAGATTGGGCAGGTATATATTTTCATCTAGCAAGGACCATGAGTGAGTGAGTGGGTATGGTTTTACGCTGCTTTTAGCAATAGTCCAGCAATATCATGGCGGGGGACCCCAGGAATGGACTTCACACATTGTACCCATGGGTCTTCAGTTTGACGAGCAAACGCTTTAACCACTAGGCTACCCGACTGGCCCGGTAAGGGCCATGAGATTGGGCAGGTGTATACACATGCTTGTAAAATCTGTGGGAATTATTTAGGATCTCTGTTGTCCATTATTTATGATGGTTCATGTCTGTCGGCATGAATCATCAACATGACTGGAGAGGAAAAATATAACTCGACTTGTTTCAGGAAGCAATAACCATAAGTCATCATGATTGTTGATTGCGTTGTAAATAGAATAGTTTCCTCTTGTTATGAAAAGTCAAGAAAATGTATTTGTCAGACGTGATCAACATTTTATTTGATATTTATTTTAGTGGCCTGGGCACTGAAAGCTCCACAGAGTGATCTTAGTGCAAAGACTGTTGTAACTCCAATTCTTCAACATAGCCTTTAGAAAATTGTAGCACCATGATCGCTTTGTGATATGGGGCCCTGGGGACAATTGGCAGGTGACCCGTGTAGATCCGGGTAGAGAATAGGTCTTCATCAACCCTTGCTGGCCGTAACAGGCCACTATGCTTTTTTACAGGCGAAGAACTGGATCGGGTGGTCAGATTTGCTGACTTGTTTGATGCATGTAATGTATGCCAATTGCATGGATCGATGCTCATGATGTCATTCACTGGATTGTCTAGTCCAGACTCGATTATTTAGAGACCGCCATCATATAGCTGGACTATTGCTGAGTGCGGCGTTAAACAACAAACAAACAAACATTTAGCTTGGTTAGGTTTAAGTAAAAAACAAACAAAAATATTTTGCTCAATATTTTGTAATTTACTTTTGAATGAAGCTATTTGTGTTGGTCAGTTAAAGAACGTTAATGGGGAAAACATGCTAATTCTGGTGAATAACTAATAAATAAATTGCAAGAGATTCTGTGGCTTTTGATTGGTTTACTTCATCTGCTCAAGACGTAATGTCAGTCACATTAAGCTTAAGGTTTGTACCGCTAGTTTTGAAGGCACAGACGTTTGCATTCATGTTTATTTCAATAGAAGTTAAAGAGAAAAAACTAAAATTGAATAGGAAATTGAAAATATAATGTTACAGTTGGGCATCAATGTCGAGCTCTGATGTGTCATATTCTGGGTTCAGTGAGTTGTTTCCCCTGCTTGCCTTGTTCTGCTGCGGGTGGTCCTGAGCTCCAACCCCGTGGTCATCACTGAAGCTTGGTCCGCACGATCAGCACAAGTCAGTCCCCGCCGTATTCCACTATTCTACTGTCACAGAATATTTTGCACAAATGCCCACTTGGTGCAGAAATGTACCTAGCTTGCAGGAAATCACATTTTGTGCAGAATTCATGCAGAATTTTGCATTTATCTGTTGCAGAATTCATCAAATTCATTCAATCTTAACATAGTTTCAAAAAAGCTTGATTTAAAAGTGTAAACAGATATTTCTAGCAATTCTAGCCATGGATATGTTTATCATAGGACTGCCACAAGTCCAACAGGTGCAAAGCTACAGGTGTAAAAAATTCACAAAGACTAAACTTAGAAGCTTGCAGACTTGTGTGCAGAATTATCAATACTTGATTGCAGAATTTACAAAAATTGACCACAGAATTTTGATGTTTTGGCTGTGGAATGCAGTGGGGACAGACAAGTGTGTGGAAATAGTTTTCAACAGTACTAGCCAACTGAGCCATGTGAGCTAGCCAGATGATTTTTTTCTTGCCAATTTCAGATTTCACTGGACAGTTTTTACATCTAAAAATGACATATGCTTCAGACTTCGAGCAGATCTACATAGATCTCTGTCGCTCTATGTTTCTTGGTTATTCTAGCCTGGAAATGGAAACTTGCAAGCATCCATCAAATGTGAAGCCTCATGCATTTAATTGAGATTCATTACAAGTCAATCTGATGTATTGACCGGAAAAAGTTTTACTGACACTTGTCAGGGCGCAATGTCAATACAGATATCTGTCTGTCCTTAATGAACCTGCTGGAGATGTCGATAACAGAAGTGTTGAACTTGAGATAAGATAATTTGTTTTCTGTTTTGTATCTGACTCAGTTGACATGACAGGACAGTGATATTACATAGTCCTATTTACTGAGTGGCCGAGTGAGATTCTGAGTGGACTGCGAAGCCATGTGCGGCTTGAAGAGGAAGCTTGCTACTTCCTGCTACAACTGGAAGAGGAGTGGCATCGTTTTTCCATTCTCTGGCAAGGTAGGTTTGATGAGGATGATGTTCGATGAAGTCCCTAGTTTGACTTGTGCTATATGTTTCTGTGTTTGCTCTGATGAAGAATTGACTTGCCTTTGCATGGGTTTGTGACAGGTGCCATCTTTCCACGAACACCTGGTATCGTCGCTTTTTGAAAGTGATTGATACACACAGGCTTAGGATGTAGACCGTATTGTCCAGTGTGTTCTGCTTTAGGAGAGATTTCTTATGATTATGAAATGGTTTTGTTGCTTTTCTTTGAACAGACAGCCTGGCTAGATATTGTTTTAATGGTTTTGTTAACAAATATATAAAATGAATATATTTGCTATTTATCATAGCACCTCGACCTATTGGATGGGTTGAAAGGACATGAAGGTGAACATTTTACAAACAGCAAATCATTTAAATCATGTTCATTATCACTGTTCCAATACTTAGTAAATAGAAGCATTGACAGAACACACAACTTTAGGATAGCAACTTCTGGATGGTTGCATTTAGTGACGTTTCGATGTAGATTCTTACGCAACTATCAAGCTGGAGTGATAGCAGCATTGTTATAAGTCTATTATCAAAATATTTCTTTCTTCACTTTCAATAAAATTGCAAACTATAAAGGAAGAATATTCAGATACATTTTATTTTGGGCTATTCACCATGGTAACACTTCACTAGTTACTATCCAGTGATAAAAATCACTCAAAACCTGAACCCAATGAGGCTGTTGTGAGAATTAGAATAATGAATCAAGTGTTTTCCAATTCATTGTGTAATGTTAAACTATATTACTGGGTAGATGGGATGAGATCTGAAAAATGACTCTTCATGCTTCACATGTCACAGCGGGCTGATGGATGGGCGGGGCTGTTTGATCTGCAACCTGACCAGGTCACCACTGAATGGGGCCACTTCCAGTGGTCACTCAACCACATTCTTGACATTCACCGAGATCAGAGATATGGTCTCTGATAAGATGCTGTCGCCAAATAAACTCCTAATTTGTTTCATTGGGGCTTTTTGTTGTGAGCTTGCTAGGTTAGGGGGCAGTTCGAAAGTAAGATGTCGGGAAAAGAAAATAATTACTTAATCTTTGAGACATTCCCAAATCCACCAAAATAACTAAATTGTGAATAGAAAGTTGACATCTTCAATGGATTTCTTTCTAAATTATAAACACATGCATGATAGCATTGATGTAAAACATCAGAAGATAAGGACAAACCCCAACACCGATGGCTCTTGTTTTGTTGTTTAACGTCGCACTCGGCAATTGTCCAGCTATATTTCGGCGGTCTGTAAATAATCGAGTCTGGACCACACAGTCCAGTGATTGACATCATGATTTGGGTTTGGGTTGTTGTTTAACGCCGCACTCAGCAATATTCCAGCTATATGATGGCGGTCTGTAAATAATCGAGTCTGGACCAGACAATCCAGTGATTAATGTTGTGAGCATTGATCCACACAATTGGGATCGATGACATTCATCAACCAAGTCAGCGAGCCTGACCACCCGATCCCGTTAGTCGCCTCTTACGACAAGCATATGTGGCTGAAGACCTATTCTGAGTAAACCAGGATCTTCCCAGGTCGGATGGTTCTAGTGTGCCAACTTACAAAAGAAGAGGGGCGTTCGGGTAGTCTAGAGGTTAAAGCGTTCGCTTGTCACACAGAAGACCCGGGTTCGATTCCTGACATGGGTACAATGTGTGAAGCCCATTTCTGGTGTCCCCCGCCATGATATTGCTGGAATATTGCTAAAAGCAGCGTAAAACCATACTCACTCACTCACTCACTCACTAAAAAAGAGGTGGTATTCATTTACTAAAGCAGTTAGTTTTTAATAGAACTGAAAACAACCTGTAAAGATGATTCATTTAATCTTCGCCTTAAAACTTGGGATGAAGAACTTTTTTCTGTCATCAAACTTTTCATTTGGTCCCTTGTCATAGATCTTAGTTTGTTTCCTGGTTAAGATGAGTGAGGGAGGGAGTTTTTTTACACCATTTTTAAGCATAATTCAAGCAATGATGGACACCAGAAATGGGCTTCACACATTGTACAAATGTGGAGCATCGAACCCCGACTTCGGCACTACCCACTCGCCTACCCTACCTGTTTTAAGACTATAATCTCAATTTGACATCAGATAAGATGTGAAAGTAGACACAATTTATGGACAACAACTTCTTTATTTACTGTAAAGGCGACATTTCGATATAGATCCTTACTCCGTTGTCAGGCAAGAAATAAAGAAGTTGTTTTCCATAACTTGTGTCTACTTGGTCATCCGTCAACTTCTAAGTAATGCCTGTCAAACAATTCAGATAAGCTGGGATACATGAAGTGATTTTAGCGTCAATGTCTAGAGTCTGTGTTAAAGTACATGGCAGCTGAAGGAGTTGTCGGGCTAAGATCAGTTTGTGAACCGGGGCCCACATGATTAATTGTCCCAGATACTGTAGCTGATGTGCAGCAACAACAGACATACCGTATTCGACGTAATAAGCGCCCAGGGCGCTCTCAAAATTAGAAATAGGGGGCTCTTGAAAGATAAATTTCGTGGTTTATGCTGACGGCCTGACTGTTAATATACGACAGATATATTTTTCCAGAATTTAATTGCCCATAGTTAAGGGTGAATATAACACACGAGTGCGTATTATACATGAATAAATAAGTCTTGCATACATTGATCATTCGGAAGGGGTGCTAATTTGGATTGTTCACTTGCCAATATATGAGCAAATATCGCTGTGGGCGCTTATTATAGCGGGGCGCTTATTACGTCGAATACGGTATGTTGCGTAATGTACACAGGGGAGTGGTCGTGTGACTGTGACTAACAATGGTTTTCCTGCTGTCTCGTGGACACAGCTGGAGTAGGTATTGACAGGTTCAAGATATGGCTACTTGTGCCTGGAGAATAATCTGATGTACACAGTTGGACATAGGACCCGTGAAGATACGGGGTAGAAAAGGTCTTCAGCAACCCATGCTTGCTGTAAAAGGCGACTAAGCCTACCCATTATATGATAAAGATCCTTATGCCGTTGTCAGGCAAGAAATAAAGAAGCTTCAATGTCTAGAGTCTGTGTTAAAGTACATGGCAGCTGCAGAAGTTGTCCGGCTAAGATCAGTTTGTGAACCGGGGCCCACATGATTAATTGTCCCAGATACTGTAGCTGATATGCAGCAACACATGTTGCGTCATGTACACAGGGGAGTGGTCGCGTGACTGTGACTAACAATGGTCTTCCTGCTGTCTCGTGGACACAGCTGGAGTAGGCATTGACAGGTGATACGGGTAGAATAGGTCTTCAGCAACCCATGCTTGCTGTAAAGGTGACTAAGCTAGTCCTAAGAGGCGACTGATTGGATCAGGTGGTCAGGCTCGCTGACTTGGTTGATGCATGTCATCGATCCCTATTGCGTGGATCGTTGCTAATGATATTAATCACTGGATTGTCTGGTCCAGACTTGATTACTTCAAGACCGCCGTCATATAGCTGGATTATTGCTGAGTGCGGCGTTAAACAACAAACCAACCAACCAACCAACCAAGTTTGATATTGTCAGTCCGGCAGACCCTGAAACAAATATATCCAATAAAGCCCATGCAAGTCTATAATGTTTGGCAAGCCTAGTTACTGCAGTATCTGATAATGAAGAGTGATACTGGGCTCCTTTTTATTATATTTTTATTAAGATAATTTAACTGTTTTTTCTGTAAGATATGTTCATTTCAGAGACTAGATGTTAGTTCCGACTTTCATAATCTGGTAAGCGACGTTCTGATTTGTCGGATGAAAGGTCGTTCTGACGTGACCCCTAAGGGGATGTCCTCAGATCTTTGTTAGCGGTAGCGAGAACTAAGGTCTGAGTTTAATGAGATTCCTGAACAGTTTTACTTGCTTCAGGCTTTGGGACAGTGGTCAGAGGTACATCTTACTGGCTGCAGAATGTTCAGGGTTTGAACCCAGCACTGTACGGATGTGTCCTTGATGTCTTCTGGGACCAAGACAGACAATAGACAGAAGGAGCAGGAATAATCACTTTCACTGGCAGTCCTTACGATACGGAAACACACCACAGCAATAATCTCTTTATCGTAAAATGTCCTTCTTGAAATAATGGATGTTTAAGATGTAATTTCACGCAATGATATAGCTTTAGAAACAGCGTTGGAATGCAATTTTTTGCGTGAACTGCAACATTTATCAAAGTGCCAAATGATTCATTGCCTTGTTTGTCTTCAGCAACCAACACATCCGCATGCTCCTATTTAAGCTCATTTGCATATTTATCGGATTGTTATACCAAGTTTGTCAGATCGGTTTATCGCATCGATAACAATATGCAAATAAATGATGACGGTAGTTTCTTTAGTTAGATTGTGTTTCAGCCACAGTTTTTTGTGGCTATATTAATTTTATTGAGTAAGCATTAAACAGCCATACTGTTTGCGTGTGTGGTCATGAATTATCCAAGATGAATTTATTTCTCTAAAGATTACTTCCTTTGATGAACTGTTGATTGTTGGAAACTGACATTACTCCCAACACATGTTTCCATATGTCTGCTGGTAAATACGTCATCGTATCCAAGGTATGTATGTATATACACAGTCTGCGTGTAATCCCTTGCAAGGTCATGTCCTGACAGACTCTTCTGTCATAACGTAATATTATAAAAGTTCAATGTTGTATATATTGTTATTGCATATACAGTCACACCCCGTTAAACTCTGATGTGTCAAACTTAGGTTGTCTGGTAAAAGCTTGGTCCCTGCGTATTCCTTCTTTATTCATCATTATTTAACATCAGATTGTCAAATCGGATGTGTCAATGTTACGGTAGTCTTGAAGTCTGTTTCCAGTCCCAAACATGTACTTCCAGCACAAGGCCCGTGAAGATTCCGGGGTAGAATAGGTCTTCAGCAACCATGCTTGTCGTAAAACGCGACTTTTCTTGTCGTAAGAGGCCACTAACGGGATCGG